GCCAGAGCACTTTATAGGTAATTCTATAGGCTACTTTTTTATAAGAACAGTAAGTGAATCTCGTTTAACAAGCCTTCAGTCTAATCTCTGAAAAGTCTTTACCAAGTCTTTGGAAATAGTCACATAGCTCCTTATGGAAAACGTTGAAAGTAGGCTCTTTAGATATTTACTCTTGTGAATAAAACTTTCCCAAGCAGTATTCTAGCCTACATAAATGGCCAAATCATACTTTGGTCTTCCTCAAAATCACTAAAAATTATCCTATCTAGCTTAGTAACCATGGATTCAAATACACCAAAATACAGCGGCACATTCGATCCGCGTCCTGCCAGTAAGACGTAGGGGACCCCCAAAGGGCCCCACTGTCAGGACAGGCTCCAATAAGAGTGTTTGAGCTCCCCACTCTCCTCTTTAGGAGCTGGATCTCTATCTTTCTCTCCCTCTCTCTCTCTATCACTCTTTCTTTTCCTCTCAAATCAATAAGCTCTGACTCATAGTGCAGTTTATTAACTGCTACACAAAATAAGTTTCATTTAGCTGGTTCATGAAATTCAGCATTTAACTTCAATTATTTTCTTTTACTTACTTATGCTTCTTTTTTTTTCTTTTTTAAAGAAGGCTTTTTGTGCCTTTGATGGAGAGATAGGACAGTGGATAGAGTTGGAAATCAGGGAGAGAGAGAGAGCGGGGAATAATAATAATAATAATAATAATAATAACTTTATTTATATAGCACCTTTTAAAAACACAGGTTTACAAAGTGCTTTGACAAACAGCAAAAACAAGAACAAAGCAAACTAAACCAAACACAGAAAAACATTAACAACAGTAAGAATATAACAGATGCAAAATACCAAAAATAATTAAAAACAATTCAACAGAAAAGAACCCAAAGTGCACGATACACAACCAGACATATATAACCCAACCATCATAAGAACCATCATAAGAACCATCATAAGAACCCAGGAACACAAGAACCCAACAACATGAGCTGAGACCAAGAGGACCAAAGATTTAAAAAGATGTAAGAAACTAAGAGATAAAAGTAAATAAAAAGCAATGAGAAGGTAAGCGCAGTAAAAGAAATAAAAACAAGTGGTTAAAGGATCAAAAAAACCCAAAACTATAATATTAATAAAAATAAAAATTAACTATAAATACGAAACATAAATAGACAAAGTAAGTAAGATAAGAAATTACCAAGTTAAAACACAAGAGGAGATTAAGATATGAGCATAAATACGAGATAAGACCATAAATAAAAGACAGTAAGAAGTAGAAGAAGATAAAAATAGTAAAACCAGTAAGAGAAGACATTAAGAAGACGACATCACATAAAAGCAAGTCTGTAAAAGTATGTTTTAAGAAGGGATTTAAAAGAATTGAGGGAATCTGCAAGTCTTATCTCCTCAGGGAGGTCGTTCCAAAGTCGAGGGGCCCTGACTGAAAAGGCCCGGTCACATTTAGTTTTAAGTCTCGACTTTGGAACGACCAGGAGGCTCCCACCCGAGGATCTAAGACTGCGGGCTGGCTCATATGGTGTCAGTAACTCTGTTATATAGCTTGGAGCCAGCCCCGTCCGTGCTTTAAAAGTAATGAGTAAAATCTTAAAATTGATTCTAGAATGTACAGGAAGCCAGTGTAATGAAGCTAAAATTGGAGTGATGTGATGTCGTCTGTTACAACCAGTAAGAAGCCTAGCTGCTGCATTTTGGACCAGCTGGAGGCGAGACAGTGACTTATTTGTGATTCCGGAAAAGAGGGAGTTACAGTAGTCAAGTCGGGAGAAGATGAGGGCGTGGATGATCTTTTCAAGGTCTCGTTGGGTTAGGATTGTTTTCATTTTGGAGATGGTGCGTAGATGGAAGAAGCTTGATCGGACAACTGTTTTGATATGGGATTCAAAGGTGAGATTGCAATCGAATGTTACTCCTAGATTTCTGGCGGTGGGTTGGACATTGGTGAATAAGGGACCGAGGCTGCTCTTTGAGATATGAGTGGTGTTTGGCGGGTTGAATACTATGATTTCAGATTTAGAATTGTTCAGTTGGAGAAAGTTTTGCGCCATCCAGCAGTTGATATCGTTTAGGCAGTTTCTGACAGCAGCTAGGCTCCTAGGGTCCTCAGGTCTCAAAGGAAGGTATATCTGTGTGTCGTCTGCGTAGCAGTGAAAGGAGACATTGTGGCGTTCAATTATTTGGCCAAGAGGCTGTTCCGCCCTCATTAAAGAGTCCCCTTCCTCAACTAGGCAGACAGATAACTCCTTCCACATTCCGTAGTCAATAAATGTTGATTTATTTGTGTGCCACCGTTATTCATTGACAGAATGCAAAATGGAGTAAAACTGTAATAAAGTAAAAAGAAACAATCAGTTATGATACACGATCAATAAACATATCTGTGTAGTATAACATGCTTGTTAATGTCAATCAAATTAACAGTATGTGACTGAAAATATATCTGACCGAAAACTATCACCTAGCGAACAAGGTATACTGCAGAACACAAAAATCATGGTCTAACATAGCCATCTGCGTAAAATGAAAGCATGGTCGTGAAAAGAAACATCTTAATCACACTTTACTCACAGACAATGATTATACGATTCCTTCCTAGTCCAGGATGGATTTAGATCCTTCATAAGGCAAGTGTCCACAACATGCTCTTATCAATGAATGAGAAACCCAAAATGGCCTCCTACAGAGCGCCATGAGGTCCAAAAAACTCAACAACAAATGTAGCACTCCCTAGTGGCTGCAAGGTGACCTACAGCTCCTTACTTAGGCCAGAACACTCCCCGCCTGGTATCTAAAAAGATGCCACCACAACTGTACAATGCACACTAATACAAACCAACTACAATGTCTCTGGGGAGAGGAGTAGAACAGTCTCTGAGACAGGGCGTAGAAAGGTCTTGAATGAACCATCGTTTGCTGTCTTGATTTCGACCTTCCTCACCTTGCCATCTGCGCTGGGGAATGTCTTGACCACAATACCAAGGGGCCAATAGTTTCGTTTTACCTGCTTGTCTTTGAGTATTACAATGTCTCCAGCTTGAAGATTATGTATTTCCTTTTGCCATTTTCTCCGTTTTTGCAGAGAGGGTAGGTACTCTGTCCTCCAGCGATGCCAAAAGGTGTTGGCCAGACCTTGGACTTGCCTCCACTGCTTGCCATAGAGATTGTCGCCATCAAACTCTCCTTTTGGGGGAGGAAGTGCACTGATCTTTTGAGTCAGGAGTGTTGCCGGTGTCAGGATAAGTGGGTTGTCTGGATCAGTGGATACAGGGACCAAAGGGCGAGCATTCACTATAGCCGATACTTCTGCCATGAATGTAGTCAAGACTTCATGGGTAAGCTTTGACGGGCCAAGTTTTAACAGCATGGAGTCCAGGATGCGTCTTGTGAGCCCAATAAGACGCTCCCAACTGCCTCCCATATGTGATGAGTGTGGTGGATTGAAGACCCATTTACATCCGCTGTCGCTTAAATATCCCTGTGTTTCTTTGTTGGTGACTACTGTTTCTATCTGCAGCTCTTTGCAAGCACCAACAAAATTTCCTCCACAGTCAGATCGTATCTGCTTGGCTGGTCCTCTGATGGAGAAGAACCGTCGCAGAGCATTTATGAAGCTTGAGGAGTCCATAGACTCTATGACTTCAATATGTATGGCTCTTGTGCTCATACATGTAAAAAGCACTGCCCACCGTTTGTTGCTGGCCACTCCTCCTCTAGTCCGCCGTGCCACAACCATCCAAGGTCCAAAGACATCCAGACCAACAAAGGAGAAAGGTGGGTCGGTACTGAGTCGGTCAACAGGTAGATCGGACATTTTCTGAGTCTCTACAGCCCCTCTAAGTCTTCTGCATGTAACGCAATGATGCAGAATGCTACTGACACGGCGTTTCCCTCCAATAATCCACAGACCAGCAGCTCTTAAGGCACCCTCAGTGATATGACGCCCTTGATGGTGGACCTGTTCATGATAGTGTTGGATTAATAAAGTTGTGATGTGGTTCTGTCCAGGGAGAATCAGAGGACAAATCTCATCTTCACAAAGGCGAGCATTGGAAAGGCGTCCGCCAATCCTGAGAAGGCCAGGACTGTCAATATAAGGACACAGGTTGTACAGTGGGCTTTGTTTACGAATATCCATTCCTTTCTTAACACATTCCAGTTCTTCTGTAAAAGCGATTTGTTGCAGACTACCAACGATGATGGTCTTCGCTTTGTCCAAATCTTCCTTTGGACAGGGCCCTTCATGAATGTGCCATCCTTTACAGTTGCTGTCTTTCTTGAAGGAACTGGCAACATGCTGAAGCCTTGCAATTGCACGAGTGAGTGATCGCCAGCTGGAGAATCTCTCAAAGCGCTTGATGTCCAGACCATCTGTGGCAGCCTCTGTGGTAAGACATGTAATCTGTGGGCGGATGTCAACATCAGAGCTAGGTTCAACCAAGTCAAAGGATGGAGGGGAAGTTTCCAGTTCAGTTCCTTTCAACAGGAATGCAGGTCCTGACAACCATGTTGTTTGTAGCAGAGTCCCTGCTGCAACCGCTCTTGAGCCATGATCAGCCGGGTTCTGGTTAGTTGGGACATATTTCCATTGCTCTGGACTGGTGGTTCTCCTTATGCGTTGTACTCTGTTATGTACATACACATAAAATCGTCTCGTCTCATTGTGGATGTAACCCAAAACCACTCTACTGTCAGAGTAGAATGTAATGGCATTGAATTTGACGTCCAGCTCATCCACCACTGCTTCTGCTATTTCTACTGCTAAAACAGCAGCACACAGCTCAAGCCTTGGGATGGTTAACTCAGGACGTGGAGCCAGTTTGGCCTTGCCAAACACAAAGCCAACCTCTGTCTTCCCCTTTGCATTGGTTGCTCGCAAGTAGGCTACGGCAGCGACTGCAGTTATGGAGGCATCACAGAAAACACATAGCTCTTTGCTTTGAGCTTGGCTTAGGGATATGGTGGTGTACTGCCGAGGGATTTTTATCTGTTCGATCTCCTTCAGAGAGTCCCTCCACAGTTTCCAGTCTTGAAATTTATCTTCTGAAAGAGGGGTGTCCCAGTCACATGGTTCTGTAGTCAGCTCCCTCAGTAGAAACCTTCCCTGAATACTGACAGGAGAAGCAAATCCCAGCGGATCGAACAAACTGTTGATGGTCGACAGAACCCCACGTTTTGTGTAGGGCTTCTCTTCCGTCGACACTTGAAAGGTAAACACATCTCCTGCAACATCCCAGCTAACTCCGAGACTTCTTTGCATAGGAGGTGGGTCTGTATTGAGATCAAGGTCTTTCAGCCCCTTCGCCAGATCTTCTTGAGGAAAAGCCTTCATCACATCTACCCTGTTGGAAGATATTTTATGAAGACGAAGATTGGAGAGAGCCAACATTTCTTGAGTGTCTCGAAGAAGGGTGATGGCTTCTTGCTCACTGGGAAGGGACACCAGTCCGTCATCCACATAAAAGTTCCGTTCGACGAACTGTCTTGCCCGTGCTCCGTATTCTCTCTCTCTCTCTATGGCAGCTCTTCTGAGCCCGTACGTGGCAACTGATGGAGATGGGCTGTTACCGAAGATGTGAACCCGCATTCTGTACTCCACTACTTCACCATCCAGGTCGTTGTTGCGGTACCAGAGGAAGCGAAGAAAGTTGCGATGATCCTGACAAACCACAAAGCAATGAAACATCTGCTCTATGTCAGTCGTGACGGCGACCTGCTCCTTCCTGAATCGCAGTAATACCCCAAGCAGACTGTTGTTCATGTTAGGGCCAGTGAGGAGGACATCATTAAGGGACATGCCACAATGTTGGGCACTGGAGTCAAATACCACCCTTATTTGACCAGGTTTCTGTGGATGGTATATTCCAAAGTGAGGTAGGTACCAGCACTCTTCTTCTGGTTGTAAGGGTGGAGCAACTTCTGCATGTCCATTCTTAAAGATCTTATTCATGAATTGAATGTAATGTTCCTTCCTCTCTGTATGTTTCCTCAATGTGCGGGTCAGTGAAGTGAGGCGATTCCTTGCCTGTTCGAGATTGTTAGGAAGGCGTTGTCGTGGACTCCGAAAAGGAAGTGGAGCGACCCAGCTATTGGATTCATCCTGATGGCATTCACTATCCATAATTCTCAGAAAGGCAAGATCCTCCATAGAAGGCGCAGTCTTGTCATCATCCTTTGTGGAGCAGAATACAGACTCTCCCACAAGACCCATTAAGTCTGTCAGAGGGGCCCCATTTTCTTCCTGGGTGATAAAGGAATTCTGAGACTGGTGGTTGTGACTGAAGCCCTCCTTGACTCTGATTTTGTTTGGGCAAGGACTCATCAGGCTTGGGCGTCCATTCTCAAGAATGTTTGTTCTGAAGGTGTTCACAGATGAAGGTTTGTGCGCACCATCAAGGCAGACCTCTCCTACTATCACCCAACCGAGAGCTAACCGTTGTGCAAAGGGAGCTAAGAGAGGCCCATTTCGTTGTTCGTGAACCTTGTGCACCTGAATTATATCCCTTCCTAAGAGAAGCAAAATATTGGCCTTGGGGTCAAGAGGGGGTATCTCAGTAGCTAGGGACTTCAGGTGAGAATGGTACCTAGCAGCTCCTGGAGTGGGGATTTCAGCCCTATTATCAGGTAGCTGGTCACACTCGATGAGTGTGGGGAGGGTAAGACTGGTCCTTTCATCTGCAGATTCTACAATGAAACCCCTTGCTCTCCGGCCTGCAGTCTCTGACACACCTGCACACGTTCTGAGTGTGTAAGGGGAGGTGTCATCAACTATGTCAAACATCTTAAAAAAGGCTGATCTGGCCAAAGACCTGTTGCTTTGGTCGTCTAGAATGGCATATACCTTGGTTTTCCTCTCTGGCTGACCCTTTGGGTATACGTAAGCTAGGCAGATTTTGGAACAAGACTTCCCTATTGTGCTGCCTCCACAGACCTCTGTGCAGGTTGACGTAGTGATTAGAGAAGAATGAGCTTCCTCTGCCTCCCCGCCATGCTGTTCAGAGGGGTTAAGCTGTGGTTTAGTTGACCAGGGTGCTGGGCCGGCGTGAAGAGCTGCAATGTGCTTCTCACTGCTGCACTCAGAACACTGTATAACTGCTTTGCAGTCCCTTGCTTGGTGCGAAATTGAGGAACAGCAACGAAAACATATCCCGTTTTCTCTAAGGAAGGTTTTTCGTTCCTCCAGGGGCTTCGCTCTGAAGACTCTGCACCTCTGCAGGGGGTGGGGCTTCTTATGAATAGGACATTCCTTCTTAAGGTTGTCTAATCCGTTGGCTTCAACTTTCTCTTGAGTATTCTCCACTTCTGTTCTGTGTACAACTACAGGTGTTCTTAAAGATTTCAGAGGGAATCTCTCTCCCTGGAATCTCTCTCCCTTATGTGGCGGGATGCTTGAGTTTGCGGTGACGAAACTTGGGTCGTTCCTCATCCTCGCCTCTTCACGAATGAAGCTAGAGAAGACAGAAAACGGTGGGAAGGTTATGTGGTTTTGTTGTTTGTACCTTGTCCCATGTACCATCCATTTTTCCTGAAGGCTGAATGGTAGTTTCTCCACGATAGGGTGAATGCCACGTGCTGTATCTAGGTAGGACAGTGCTGGTAAGTAACCCTCCTCTTTGGCTGCTTCCACTTCAAGGAGCAGGTCACCTAACTCTCTCAGGCGTTGTGAGTCTCTTTGAGAGACCTTGGGAAAATATTCAAGCTTGTTAAAGAGAGCAGTCTCCATTGCCTCCGCAGATCCATAACACTCCTCTAACCTCTCCCAGACCATACTAAGGGCTGCAGCAGGGTGTCTGATGTGAACTGACCTCACCCTCCTCACATGTTCAGCAGACTCCGGTCCAAGCCACTTAACAAGCAGGTCTAGTTCTTCACTTGGTTTCAAGTCCAGATCTTCTATTGCATTGGCGAATGTGGACTTCCATACCCAATAATTCTCCGGTCTATCATTGAATTTAGTGAGTCCGGCTGTAAGAAGGTCACGGCGAGCTAAAAACTTAGCTAGATCTGTCACATTGGAACGTGGCTCAGCAGGCTCATTAGCTGCTCCTGTGCGTAGCTGGTCGTTATCTTCTGTATTGTCTCTGGGTGGCCATGAGCTTTTAACCACTAATCCAGCCAATGGCGTGCTCCCTTCACCTTCCCTTTTAGGCTCGAAACTAACTTGTGGACATCTGTTAGTAGAGGTTGCTTTGATAAGAGATGGGGTGTATAGAGATGAGTGCTGCCCCACATGTTGGTTATACATAGGTATGTGATGTGAGGGAAAGTCACGATGTTGCTTGTGATTAGCCTCTTCTGGGCGAGCCAAGTCAACTTCAGCATTAGAATGTGGACTGTATTGGGGTGCTAATAGCTGATTAGCGTTTATGAAGGCATGCTGGTGTTCAACGTACTTTTCAGTCCTCTCAGCTGATCGATATGAAAGACCTTTATCAGTGTGATGAATTTGAGACAGCTCCTCTATTTCTGGCATTTCCACAGCAGCTTCGAATATTGTAGCTTCAGCGAAAGCTGCCTCTGCCTCTTTCTCCTGCTGGATTGCTTCCAGTGTTGCTTCAAGGCGTGTCTCCTCTACCTTTAGTTGAGCCCTTTTTACTTTCATTTCAATTTCCCTTTGTGCGTAGGATGCTCTGGTACGTGCTGCTTCAGCTTTGGCCCGTGCTCTTACCGCAGCCAAGCTTGTTGCAGACTTACCGGAGTGTTTTGATGAGCCTGAGCAGACAGATCTGGTCTCGTGGCCTCCCCTTTCTGCAGCTGACATCTTGTCTTTCAAAGATCTAGGGGTTGAGCCGTACTGATCTGTTATCCACCAAGGTTGAAATCACTGTAAAGTCTGTCTTTTTACTGTTCCGCCCTCATTAAAGAGTCCCCTTCCTCAACTAGGCAGACAGATAACTCCTTCCACATTCCGTAGTCAATAAATGTTGATTTATTTGTGTGCCACCGTTATTCATTGACAGAATGCAAAATGGAGTAAAACTGTAATAAAGTAAAAAGAAACAATCAGTTATGATACACGATCAATAAACATATCTGTGTAGTATAACATGCTTGTTAATGTCAATCAAATTAACAGTATGTGACTGAAAATATATCTGACCGAAAACTATCACCTAGCGAACAAGGTATACTGCAGAACACAAAAATCATGGTCTAACATAGCCATCTGCGTAAAATGAAAGCATGGTCGTGAAAAGAAACATCTTAATCACACTTTACTCACAGACAATGATTATACGATTCCTTCCTAGTCCAGGATGGATTTAGATCCTTCATAAGGCAAGTGTCCACAACATGCTCTTATCAATGAATGAGAAACCCAAAATGGCCTCCTACAGAGCGCCATGAGGTCCAAAAAACTCAACAACAAATGTAGCACTCCCTAGTGGCTGCAAGGTGACCTACAGCTCCTTACTTAGGCCAGAACAGAGGCAGCATATAAATGGAGAATAAAATGGGACCTAAAACCGAACCTTGCGGTACACCACAGGTAATGTTAGAGGTAGAGGAGGAGTAGTTACCGATGGTGACGGCGAAGGTTCTTTCTAAAAGATAAGAGTAAAACCAGCTAAGTGCAGTATCCTTTAAACCAACCCAATGTCTGAGACGATCAGTTAAAATTGTGTGATCAACAGTATCAAAAGCTGCGCTAAGATCTAAAAGAATTAAAATTGTGCCCTCCCCTCTATCTGTTGCTAAAAGAAGGTCATTGGTTACCTTGAGGAGGGCAGTCTCTGTGCTGTGACAAGCTCTAAAACCGGATTGGAATTTCTCAAAGAGGTTATTTTCAGTCATAAAAGATAAAAGTTGTGTTGAAACCACCTTTTCTAAAACTTTTGATAAAAATGGAAGTTTTGAGATTGGTCTAAAATTGTTAAAATCAGTGGGATCAAGGTTGGGTTTCTTTAAAAGTGGTTGGACCACAGCATGTTTAAAAGCAGAGGGGACTACACCTTCCGCCAAGGAACTATTAATAATGGATAAAATACTGGGTCCAACTGTGTTAAAAACCTCTTTGAGAAATGTTGTGGGAATAAAATCAAGGCTGCACGTAGCTGATTTCATATGGGTTAAAATTTCAGATAAAAAGGTGAAGGACACCGGCTCAAAACTGCTAAAATAACTGTTAAGTTCCCTGCTGGTGTCTAAAATACGGTCTGGGGGATGATTTGTTGCCTAATGTCCTTGACTTTATTAGTAAAATAAGTTAAAAACTTCTCACATAGATCCTGAGAAGGATCAGTAAAATAAGAAGGGGAGGGGGTGGTGATTGATTCTAAAACCTTAAATAAAATTCTGGGTTAGAATGATTGGCTAAAATCAGATTAGAATAAAATGCTGCTCTTGCGTCCTTAACTTCCTTTTGGTATTGTATCATTGAATCTCTCCATATTTCATAAAATACATGCAAGCCTGTTTTTTTCCATTTTCGTTCTTTCCTTCTGCAGTCTCTTTTTAGATCCTGAGTCAGTTCGTTTAGCCATGGCTGTGGGACTCTGTTAGGTTTTTTGTCTTTATAGGGAGCAACAGAGTCCAGCACAGTTTGACAGGTGAGATTAAAAGAGGAGACCAGCTCCTCTGTGTTAAAATGTTGGTAAAAGGCAGTTGAAGAGACAGAAATAAAAAGCTCCTTAAACTTGCTAGCAGACGTAGAGTTAAAAACCCTGCTGCGGACAGGTGCCTTGCTAATAAAAGGTGGCTGAGATAGAACCACTCTGAATAAAACCAGTTTGTGGTCTGACACACAGATATCCTTTGTCTCAAAGTTGTTAGGGCAGAGACCGCTGTATAAAACAAGATCAAGTGTGTGGCCCTTAGAGTGAGTGGGTTCCTGTATTGCCTGAGTAAGGTTAAAAGATTCTAGAATATCCATAAAATCACCCGCAAGGGACTGAGAGGGGCAACAGACATGTATGTTAAAATCACCTAAAACAAGGATTTTATCATACTTAGAAATAAAATGTGATAGAAACTCTGAAAACTCTGCAATAAAAACATTGTTAGGTCTGGATGGTCTGTAGATGATTAAAATTAGCACAGGATCTTTTAAGTTAACAAGGTTGGTTTCAACCTGGGCTGCCCGCTTGGAGGATGTGGCGCTCCACCTCGTTATCACTTTAGCTACTCTTTCCATATATTATATTATCAAATAATTAAAGATTTTTGCATTTGAGGTAGACTAATGCTCAGTATTTTTTCTGTGAGTAGGTCTATTACTGCTATAAGTATTGGGATTTTATGATATTTTGACCTTGAACAAAAAAAGGTCCAAATAAAGAAAATAAATCATCTTGAGTAAATTCAGTTTTTCACAAATATTATTATTTCTGCAGTCTTGTCTTTCTTCTATCCTGAAAAGCCTCAGTGTGCATCAACAACTGGTGCAGACATTTGAGCACAGTGACACACATGGAGGAGAACTCTGTTGTTTCTAAGACAGAAGAGCAAACACACAGTAAAAGAGGTGCAGACAGGTCCACAGATTCTACTTTTTGGTACCATGAATAGACAGCAGGTGCTTGAGTGTTTTACTGTCCTTTTCATTAGTAACAATCACTGTTACCATAGCAACATATATTTCAAACAGAATTAGATATTGATGTGAAAGAAGCAAATGAGGTTTTTATGACTTTAATTAAGTTCCACAATAGTACACAAATAA